GTTATTCCCTGAAACGGGTTAAATTTTGAATAATAATAATAATTTATGTTATCAATATGATAGGTAAAACTTAATCTAATCCATTTTTATTATTTACTAATATTTAGAATTATGAGATTTCATCGAATGTTTATTAATTAATGAAAAAATTAAAAATTAGTCGAAATAATTTAATTAATTTCCAGCATCATTCAAAGGTAAGGCATAAATTTAATCAAATGGCTCCACTATTGATATTTTATTTATTTCTACTTAATTAAAGCCATCTTGATCGTAATGGGAGACCAAAATAAATGATTTTGGTGCCACTTGAACCAGAAATGAAAGAAACTGTCATAAAGGTTGAGCTAAATAAATTCAGTGTAGCCAAAAAGCTTTAATGATTACCTTCTAACTTTTAAATTACTTTTAGGTTTATTTGTTTAATTTCTTACGAATAAATCATTTCCATAATTTTATTACTAAAGTATAGACCCTATAACAGTTGTTCCTTCTCATTTAATATTGAAACAGTAGCGATTTGAGTTAAGAGATGCTTGATGAAAATTAAATTTTTTGCATGCTACTTATTATCTATTAGTATTTTTTTCTCTTCCATATTTTAGGATGGGATATACATACTATTGAAATTTTTGAGTTATTACTATATTTCATCCATGATATCAAGTAAAGATTAGTCCAATTATTTTACAATTATTTTTTGCAACATCTTAAAATATTGATGGAGAAGCTTCTCATTTTTCTTTAGAGTTTAACAATTCTTCGAATTTTCCTGGTTCTCCAAGATTCACTGCAATCTATCTGAGTTAATCAAACTTTATAATCTATAAATTCGTTTTTATTAAGTTAATATAAAATTCTGTATTTTTCATATTATCAAATTATTTTCTTCATATTTCTCATTAATTTATTTTATTAAAAAAAAAAATTAAGACCCAATTCAAGTTTAGGTATATATTTCATACGAATTTTCAAATAGTTGATATTCCTAACTAAAGGATAGACATTTTTACCATTTTAATATTATTCATGTCGATATAAATTATCCTATTATCGAATGCATAATTCTTTTCTTCTAAGTCTTGGATTTGGATTCTTGATAAAATAATATGATGTTGCAATTGCTTATGTTGAAAGGAAATTGAGAATGAATAGTATTCAAATTTTTGAATTACATATTGTAATATACCTGCTGGTTCAACTAAGTTCATTAGAACATTATTTAAAATTAATTAGTTAATGATATTTGATTTACTTTTTAGTTTTGATTTTAAAATAGTATTTGAGTAAAACCAGAGAACTCTTTTGGAGAACCCGAATAGTAAGTAAAATTAATTTCAGTTTTAGAACTTATAAACTAAAAATTTATTTCTTTAATTCAGATACTTAAATTATGTAAGCTGTTTCCGCTATATACAGGGGCAAATTAATATACAATTTCAAGACTTACAATCCAATTTAATTACAATATTGAATATTAAGTTAGTCGTCTGAATTTTCTTCATAAGTTGACTATTCAAAAATGAATTCTTAATTACAATCTGAAGTATAACAATATTTAGTAAATTAAAAAATAAGAATCTATTATAACATTTTCATTCGAAATTGGTCTCACATTTATAAGAATACAATTTGTTCTCATTTGTGAGACGAAATTATGAATTCAATTTCTAATAATAATAACAATAGTTACTTATAATTCATCTTCAGACCTTATTTGGCAAATTTAGCACAATTCAGCACACGTAATGCATGAACCCTCTGCTTGACTACGAATCGGTTAAAAGTACTAATTTAATGGGCATGTTGCACAAGAAAAATATGGTACATTTTTATTTTGTTAACAATCCAAACATTCTGAAGTGCAATACCCCAAGCACGTTTACGATTAACTTAATTAGTCTCCCTAATTACATTCTATTTCTTATGAAAAGTAAAACTAAGCATATTCAAACCTTTAATAAAAATATTGGTTTGGTAAACATTTCATCATAAACTCTAGATTTAAATAGAGGCATCCCAATATGTCTCTCCTTCAATTACAATTTTTGCATTTATAGATTATGGTGTTTGTTTTTAACAATTTCTATATCTGGTTAAGGTAATAAACCCTACATTACAAATGATGCATTTTACTTCATACATAGGAGTGATTATACATTATACACAATTTTGAATTTACTTTCCACAATTAATTATTCTAGTGCCACACTAAAATCAGTAGCTGATATAATTATATAAAAATTTCTTTTAAACTCTAGAGTGCATATTTCTTAACCATCTAAATTAACAAATGTCCTTAAGCAAATAGATAGGGAAGGTTATTTATAAATGCACTTTCCAATTTAAAAGTCAAAGATGTAATTTACTTCACACATTGCACATCCAATGTTTATGAATTCATCGAATCGAAATCTCTCAAAGTTTGCATATAAAGTAGATTTTTCTAATTCATCCTTCTTATATTCAAAACAGTATTTGCAATTTTTAACTTGGCACAATTTACATTCTTTGAATGAGTTTAGATAATCAGGAAATCTAAATTAAGTTTAAGAATGTGCAAAGATTTCTATCCTAATACAAACTCCATCAATAGTTTGGTAGTTGAATTCACATTAAATGCATATTTTCTGTCTCATTTCATTCGAACAGACCTTGCAGTTTGATAATTGAAATTTATAACAAGAGTTGATAGTAAATTCTTAATTTAGAATGTGTGAAATTCTTTACTAATATAGTGATTAAAATCCTTATTACAACTAAGAGAATTGTCTGAATATAAAGATAGGAGAAAATTAAAATTAGATTTTTGATCTTTTAGGATCTTAATATTGCATTTATTAATTATTTGAATACAAAACTAAAAAAAAAATAATTCAAATTAGAGTAATTATCAATAGTTACTCATTTCCTCTAAAAATGTAAATGGCCTTGAGTTTAAGACTGCCTAGAATATCTGAAAATATAATATGATTGACAAAATTCAGTAGGTTGACAGCAAATAAAATTACTGCATTAACAAATTACAATTATGCTTTACAACCTTTAGGTTTTCAAGAGTTTAAATATTTCGAGGTTTTCACTTTATAAAAGATTTATGAAACTCACTTTAGAAGTACTCTTGAATAATCTACAGCAATATCTGTCATTTTGATCTGTACATTGTAGTATATTGTGGCATTTTAATAAAATTTTCAGAATTCTAATTACCAGTAACATTTTGATAATATTGAATTGGCAATTATTATTGAAATTGAATCTTTATAAGACTAAGTGGTGAAAGACAATTTTAAGGTTTCCAATATTTAAATTTTGAGGACATCATCTAAATTTTTGATTAATATTTTTATGATTGAAGTTCAGTTGAATTACATTCTATTAAACCTTGTGAGTAGTGCCAATCATTAAAAAATAATTTATTTTATAGACGATGGATTAAATTGATTTTTAAATTTGATATTGTCCTAAAACCAACCACAAACATCAGTTATCAATTGAATATCATCCCTCATTTCAATTTATGCATTTTTAATTAAAAAATACAAGTATTCTACTGGCAACTTGATTCAAATTAAATATTATTGCCATATCTCAAATCCAATTGAGAATTATATTACATTTTGTTTCGCAATTCTATTTATTATATGACAACTAATATCCATCTTGTCAATTATTCCATATTTACTTTTATAAATCTAAACTATGCATTAATTATTATTATATCCCATAATTCCATAAATCTAAAAATTATTTGCGGAATATTTTCAATCTGAATTCAATTATTGCAACTTCAAATATCTGATTTAGAAGATAGAAAAATCCTTCATTAGATACAATAGGAATCCTCATTCATTATGTGCTTCATCTGAGAGTTATTAAATAGTTGTTATAAAAGAAGTAAATTTTAATTGTATTGATATAGATACAAGTTTCTAATTTGATTGCTAGTGTTTGCATTAAAGATTGAAAATTAGATTGAATCTAGTTAATGGTAAGGTGAATACATAAAAAGGGTAATAAAATTGGAAGGTAGAACTCTTAAATTTCATCCAATCTTTCTCTTTATCATATACTCCTCTACTTCTACTTCTAACAATGTGACTTTACAAAATAAAGCTAAATTCTTTTCTTACTCAGAATTAATCAAATTAAATGATATTTAAAGACGTTTCATGGTTCAAATAAAATTTTATAATCATAGAGAAAATGAATATAAAAATGGTAAAAAGAATAATTAATGTGATTTATTTTAAAGGAAATTTAAGTCGGAAAAGGATTAAGATGAAAAAATGATAGAAAAAGCCTTACGCTCTCATTTTACGCAACTTAAATGCTGTAGAACCACTAAACAATAAATACTGATTTATCCTATTATCTTCTGATTTCTCTTTTTTTTCATAAATTAAAAATATTGTACAATACATCAAATATCCAATAATTTCACAATTATTCATCAGATAGGTTAGTTAAACCAGCAATTTCTCAATAAAAACTGACCTGTTTTTGCTCTAAATCCCAGGTATTTTGTTAAGCTCGAAAATTTATCAAATGCTTGATGCATTTATTATTCCTCAAAATGATACCAATGTTTAGTTTTCTAATTTTAAATAACTACTAATAAGGATTAATGATGCCAAAACTTTGACTTTTGCTTAACTAATTTCAGTTAAGATCTTATGTTTCCTTTTAATATATTACTCAAGATTCAATATTTATATAGGTTTAGAATCTTAAAAACCATGCTAAAGTGTATTCAAATTTGATGCTACGATTATATTCATATAAAAGATAAATATTACTTTCTCTTAGGATTGGAAATTACTTAAACATCATAAATATTAAAGCCAGTTTATAGAATATTAAATTACTTTTCATTAAAAATACCAATAAAAATATTGAATTCTTCATTTTGCAAATAGTTAACTAAAAAGATCTTTTTGTAATTCTGTTTAAAATCTCCATTCTATAATTTCAATCACAAAAATATCATTCCTTTACTCAGCACTAGGTACCAAAAGGAACTATTAATCTTTAACGAAATAGATTTAACTTCCAGATGAAACATTTCATTTAAATTTATATTCCCAATTTCCCTTTCTACCATATTATAAATTGATCATAACCACATGATGCCAATATAGTTTCAGATTGATTAAAACTAAGTGATTCTACACAATTGCTATACATATCTAAGGAATAAAGAAATTTCAGATCATTTTTTGTAAAATCTACTTACCATACAATTACACGATGATCATTCCCTCCAGAAATAAGTTGATCCTCTTATTTATTTAACAATAAACACATAACACATTAATTATGCTATTTGATGGTTATGACCATTTCCACTCACTTTAGTTAATTTATTTCCAACATATAATTTCTCCAGAGCCACAACCAGAAATAAAGTTATTTATCTTTTTGCTATACACTAAACAATAATTAGGATTGCTACGTTTATTATAAGAATTAGATAATTTAAATCTTCCTTTTTCACAATTCCATATTTTAAACTCACAATCATAGTTGATCCATCTCTATTGAACAAAATTGCTTAACCCTATCCATTCTATTAAAATGGATTATCAATCAAATTTAATTACACAGATTGAGACATAGTTAATACCTATTATTTCTATTTATTGTCAACCTAAATCACATCCTTTTATGTCTATATCATAGTTTCATTATTTACTTTTTCTAATATTTGCTCTCTTGTAATCTTCTGTGTTTCATTGATATTACTTACTATTTTAATATTTCTAAACATTTTTAACTTTCTTAAAATGATTTAAATAAATGTAATTTCTTTTCAATTTTTTGATATCATGAGTATTATATTTAACCTATTTGGTCAAATAATTTTTTCTAACTGAATTCTTCCTATCTTTTTTCCTTAACTAGATTATCAAATTCATCATGAAAACTATAAGTAATATTTTATTATCCAGTTTGTATCATATGATTTTTCTATTCATCAACATTTCTAATTAATTAATCTAAATATTAAACAATTTCAGATTTTAATGAAAAAGATTTTGTTAAGTTCTTCAATTCTTTTGATTCTGATCATTATCACATTCTCAACTGATTCATACTTTAATTTTTGATTTTCCTCTATAATCACTACAAACTTTTTGAAACTCATTAATTGGGCTTTTGATCCAAGATTTTCCATGCATTAACAGCATAAAATTCTCTCATTCCTCTTTAAAGTTGTATCAAAAGCAACCATAAGGATTGGAATCTTATGCTTTAAAGAACAATGAAGTTCTTCTTCTTTTTCTATCATTTTGATTAAATCATTTTTATAAATTATTTTTTAATTCTATTATTTTCACGAGATGCTTATGAATTTGGATTATTTAATACTCCATAGAATTTTACTTTTTTCTATAATTCCAACTTTCTAAA